GTTTTGTTGAAAAATGTAGGAAATCTGATCCCATATATAAACGAATACACAGACACAAACAACCTGGGTTTTATAATAAGTATAACGCGATATGAGTTGTCCCCATTTCATTCTGGTAACAGAATCGCATTTTCAAATTGATTTCATGCAAAAAAATTGTTTTTCCAATTTTTTGGTGCTGTCAGAACCACCGCAAAGGTAATTTTACACAGTCCTCATGAAGTTTTGTTGAAATTGGTTGAAAAATGTAGGAAATCGATCCAATATATAAACGTACAGACACACAATCAATCTTTTATAATTTATATAATATATATATATAAAATATATATATATATATATATATATATATATATATATATATATATATATATGGTTCAGCAGAGCCATAAACCATATACTAGAGCAATCAAGAATCATAAAGCACATCTTGGAAGAAGCACCACCACACTTTCTTCAAGATTCAAAGTTTACTTAAAATTTATCCATAAATGGAAGAACTGAAACACTTATCAAAGTATATAGTCTTAACAATATTATGACCTCATATTTATTAATCCAAGAAAATGTCATGTGATAAAACAGAATTCTTTTGATATTCAATATTTAAATTTCTTATTAGCATTTTTCCTCAGAAACTGTTAAATAAAAGGTTAGTCAAAGTTAAATAAAAAAAAAAAAAAAATTAATTTTTTATAACCAATCCTTAAAAAGCTGGTTGCACAATGGCCTTGTTCCTCATACAATGACCTGTAACTCCACGAAAAAGAAGACTACATTAAAATGACTATTTAATACACTCCTTTGCAGTATTAAGAGAAAAAAAAAATGTCCTTAACTCCCACACGACAATTCATTTACAACTTATTACCAATATTCATAGAAATAGCCCTATTATTCTCATTCTGTCAATGGGAGTTTATTTAAGGTCAAGTAGACACTTGACCCTCTTTTGAATTGGTCAAGTGACATTCTTGAAACTTCCTGCATATTGCAGCTGAACAACTAAGTAAAGCAGAAAAGAAAATTATGAAGAAAGATTGACACAGAATAAAAAGACAGCTCTGTTAAAACCTAATATTCTTAATAAAAAAAGAAAACAAGATTAAAGTCATTTTAAGATACTAGCTTATGATCTTGGAGGAGTGCCATATTTCATAGTATCTCTTGGGGAAGTGTTTAGATTCTCTTCAAGTTGCACAAACAGGTAAATCTGGGTTAAATAGTAGGACTCCATTTTCAAATGTAGTTCAATGAATAACCAAATTTAAGTGTAGGTATCAATTTTCAATAAATTGGTATACTATTAGAATCTCAAATTGAAACTTAAAATATTGTGAACTAGATTTATGAAAGAGAGACTTAGACAAAAATTATTGGCAATGATATGCAACAAAATCGGTTAATATACAATATTCTGAAATCAGGTATCAGAAGGACTTATTTTTTTGTTGCTTTCATTAAAACATTTTAGCTAGTGCACAGTCTAGCCCAGTATATCTTGCATTCAGAGGTAAACGAGAAAACAGGAGAACTAACTAAAGTATATGCATCAAAATACTGAAATTATTTCTGCTGCATCTCAAGAGAGTTTGCATTAACAAATTCTGTAGTAAAATTAGGTCCAAACAATAGGAAGGAGACAGGTTGGCTTCTCAGCTTCAAGACAGGTTGCTCAAAACAATCTAGCTACAAAACTCCACAGATCTTTGCACTCAATTATTCCAACACCGCCTCGTAGTTCGCTACACAACTCTGTCGAGCGGTCTCCATCATCCACATTTATGCCGCGAACACCAACCAATTTGCATACGCCAAGTTCACCTCTCGCCAATTCTCGCGGCTACAAGATCGCATTTCCCATAAGTCCCACTCACCGTAATGGTGGTGTTTCTTCCTTCGGACCAACTACTGCCCTGCACGCCAGACACAAACGGACCCTCTTATGTCTAGAGCTAAGGTTAGTCTCACTTTCATGTCCACAGATTCATTAAGAAAAATAATAAATGGATAGGAATTGATACTTAAGCATTACAGATCAAAGTACCATTTTAAGTACTAAAGTTAGCACATTGTGACCAATACTGTTATTGCAATAATTTATTAACCAGTATCGTAGGCATGTTGCAAGAGAAAAAGAAAAAAAAATGAACAATATCCCCTTTGGGGAGGCTCCATGCCTTGAGTGACAGGATGTATCCATAGACACTCGTATCCAAGGATACCAGTTTACTAGAGCAGCTAGCAAATTCCAATTGCAAACATCTGCTCAAGCACATTTGTGCTTGTTCAACACCCACAGAACCCACCTGTGGTTTAAACTGCAACTATGCTGAGCAGACCTTAGTTAATTTCTAGGAGAGTGCACGTTATCTAGTGTGATCAACAGTCTGAACAAGGCCAGCACACTCAAACCCTCAGTCACGATGACTTGCGACTTTGTGCTAGCACAACCACCGATCGCTCCCAAAAGATTCCATCTACCCAACTTCGTTCATACGGCTTGGGTCAACCCATGATGTGGTTTTCAGACACTTTCCAAAAGGTACTGCACACTGAGATCACCTCCTCCAGACTGATAACATCAAGAAGTCACCCTGATGAGATACAAAACCTGGGTCTCGTGGTCAGAAAAACGTTTTAACCAATCAGCTAGATTGGCCTTAGAGGGCCTTAAACTAACAGCTGACCTCAAGTGGAACTTGTACATATGAACCATCATTGAAGATGATGCAAGAAAAATTTGCTCCCTGTTCCACTTCAGTAAGTACCCAACGTCTTGTACAATCCTCTACCTTTACAAAAGCCAGATCAGACTGAAAATGGAGTACTGTTACCATATTTGAGTGGGAGGTGGCAAGTCCTCACTTTCCAGTCTTGACAGAGTTCAAGAGTGGCTCAGAGTCTTGTGGGTGACAAATTATTTTCCACCCTCCAACCTCTCTCTCACTGGCAGGATATGGCAAGCCGCTCACTGCTTTATCATTACTTCAAAGGAAAGTGCTCAAACAAAGTACATTTCTTGGTTCCGCCAGTTTTAACCCTCATGGCTAGGACCCACCATGCCATGCACATTTTAGCAAACCACCCACATTCCCACCATATTCCATCAGTGAGAAGTAAGTTCCACTGAAACAGCATCTTCCTGCAAACCATTGCTCTATGCAATCAACTTCCAAGAGGATGCTTTCCTGATCAATACAATCTTAATCTGTTCCAGTCTAGAGTTAACCATTACCTTCCCCTCCTATTTGTATAAATTGCCTATTAATGTAACTCTGTACCTCGAGTGGCACCTTGACCACGTACAGAGTGAACCTTACTGTAAAACAAAAATAAAATACAAACACCTACACAAAATAACAGAATTTTACAGACCGAACTTCTGATAAAATTTATAGTCACGAGAAAACCTATCAGTACTTGCAGTAGGTGTCAATCCACTCCTAAATAATTCTTTTACTGCATTCAAGGATTGGAAGGATGAACTGATCCAATCAAATTTAAAAAATGGTTTTAAATGTGAAGATTTTATAATGTTACATTGCTTATCACTCTTTACGGACTTAATGCAGTCTTAATTTGTTTAATCATATATACTTATTATAAAACCCAGGTTGTGTGTGTTAGTGTTTATATATTGGATCGAATTTCCTATATTTTTCAACTGATTTCAACAAAACTTCACAGGACTTCGTAAAATTACCTTGCGGTGGTTCTGACAGCGCCAAAAATTGGAAAAACAATTGTTTTTGCACAAAATCAATTTGAAAACACAAGAGGTATTAATGAAAGGGGGACAACTCATATCGAATTATACTTATTATAAAACCCAGGTTGGTTGTGTGTGTGTGTGTGTGTGTGTTCATTTATATATTGGATCAGATTTCCTACATTTTTCAATCGATTTCAACAAAAACTTCACTTTTTTTTTTGGCAGGTAGTATTTCTTATTGTCTTGCACACTTTTTTCTTTATTTTTTTACATTCAGAATGCTTTAAAAATTCCATTTACAAGAAAATTGTTTATAATAAAATTCTATTCAATCGGTAGACTAATAATGATTGAAAATAATGTTTTTGTTTGAGTTTGACCAATTTGTAAAAAAAACAAAAAAAACAAAACAAAACAAAAAAACTAATTAAGACATGCGTGTCTGTCAACCTTAAACAATAATCTTTCTCAATTTTATTTTTCAGTCTTTATGATGGTCGATACTTGATCTATCTCTTACCGTTACATCCCTGGGCAACGCCGGGCTCTACTGCTAGTCTTAACTATTCCTCTGGTGCAAAGACATGAAAACAAACACTTATGTTAAATCCACCCAATTTTTATTTTATGAGAAATTCTCGGCCACACCACCTTCAGCAATCATTGTGTTAATCCTAATATATCATCTGAAAAATTCAACATTCCATGTTCTAGTCACTATATTTGATTCTCTTTGGACTAATTTCTTATATCTCCCCCCCCCACCCTTACATTTCAGTTGTTGTATTGATAAAATCTAAAAGGAGAATCAGCAATATTATTGGTCCTGACCTGGCATCTTGTCTTCACTTTCCCCATCACCGTAAAGTCGCTTCTCTGTGCATTTTCAAAAATACTTTCATGTTCGGATGAGCTCTTCACTATTGCATCTAAGCTTTATGAATTTAAGTGCAGTACTAAATTGACAGAAAGGTTGCAGCAGTTGACAGTTGAATTGGTTAGATGTAACTGAGTTACATGCTTACAGTTTTTCTCACACTTCTCGCTTGTGGAAGTCTTCCAGCTTCTTTTTTCCAGCCAACCTTGATATTCAAGAATTTAAATGCTATGTCAGCTATTATCTTCTGTCTTCCTAATTACTTTTCTATCGTTCTCACTCCTTCATAATGTTTATCTGTTTTCTAATTCTTTGACATGCAGTAACACCTTGTGTCTTAGTAACTTTACTGCCTTACTTGGGATAAATTTGATTTAAAAAAAAAAAAAAAAAAAAAACACTACTTACTTTTCTCCTTGATTTGCTTCGAAATTTTCTTGTCTAAGTTCAACCAGTACTAAAAGAAACAAAAAGAGAATGGTTTTAATTTTGAAAACATTAAAATCATTTTTCTAAAAAAGGTGTATGATGGATCTGAATATGCTGGATTTACACAAAAATTATTAAAGAATTCACACATTTCAAGATTCGAAAGAAAGGAATATTGAAAATATTTTTTCCTATAAGTATAAACCAGTTACAACTTCAAAAAGATTGCATTCTGTTAGACACCAGATTGAAGAAAAAAAAAACAAAAAGAAAAAAAAAAAAAAAACATTTATTACTACTCAAACATTCATTCCATTAAATTGCTAACATTCAAATGAAATACATGCTTTAATTCTGATTCTGGCTATAAGTCCAATTCAAGCCAAAAATTGAGTTCTTCCAATCAAAAACACTGCAGAACTTCAAAAATCTCACGTCATGAAACCTTTCACTTTAACCGATTCCTTGGCATTTTGAAGAAATAAAATTGATTTCTTCAATTCAAAGTTTGAGATATTTTAAACTGAATTTAAAACTAAAAATTTTATATTCAGTTTTTGCATTACTTTAAATGCAGTATAAATTATAAAATTTTAAGAATCACTAATTTTTTTTTTTTTTTCAGTTATTTTAAAATTTGAATTTTTAACTGTTTGCTCTTCACCCATATAAATTCCAATGCTGGATGCTCAAGCACCAGATGAAGGGCAGATTTTCAATTCCAAGGTCCTCCAGATGCCAAAAAAGTATAATAGGTCTATGTAGAGCAAGCATGTCCCAAGTTAGGATTTCAGACACATGGGCGGACAGACAGAGTTTGCTATTTATTTAGATAAAAGATATGAGGAATTATCAGTATACACATTTCATTCAGATTAATGCCCTTATCCTGGCTGTTTTTATATTCAATTCAGATCTTCAGATCTCTGCAGCTGTAGAGTAATTGTAAGATGGTTTCATGTTTGTGCCCGTATTTCTTTTTTGTTTCCATGCTTTTATCATATCAGGTTTGTACTTTTGAGAATTTCTATGAATCTGTGATAAAAGGAGAGAGAGAGAGAGAGAGAGAGAGAGAGAGGAAAAAAAAAACTGGAACAAATATCAAAACCATCTAACAATACTTTACAGATACAGAGATCTGAAGTAGATTCCATCCAGCTTAAATGTTACAACAATGATCAATTCCTGAAGCAAAATATGGCAAAAATAGTGTTTATTTTAATTTTGAATTCATACATTTCATATAAATGTCTACTTGGCTTTATTGTGCAATAAAAGCCTACCATGATATAAATGCCCTTTTTGTTTGCAGGTGCCTTAAAACTAAATTACTAAAATGTATAAATTCAGACATTTTAATTTAGAAATAATATTGATAGCTTTTGTTTAACATCAAATATGGAATATGAAAGACTAAAATAATCAGAACCCTTTACGTTAGTTTTATATGGATTTTAAAAATAGTCAACTTCCACAATATTGGAAAATCTTTAGTTACAACACCTACTTTGATATAATAAAAGATAAAATCTATATTTGGGTTTTTCTTAGGTACCATGTGTGATGCAATCTTTGGCAAACACCTTTTTGATTCATGATCGACCTGGCAGAAGAATTCCCATAGTACATTGCTGTTACTTCATTAGACTGTTTACCGAACAAGGCTATAAAACCAAGCCTGTCCTAATTAATCCATAGCTGAGAGAGAAGAGTATTTGCCTGTAAGTGAAGGTAACAAACTTGATGAATTCAAAGTTGGCTTACCAATTTCTCATTCTGATCAGTTATTACACCTGCAGTACATCCAAGCTTACAGCACCTGGTATTCCCATGTAGTCACCCATCTGGATACTGTCCAGATTCAAATTTGCTTAACTTTGGTGACCTGGTGAGAACCTATGTTTTAATGTGATGTAGCCATAATGGGTACTAATTAGAAGCTAACTTAAACTATGTGAAAAGAGGTTTATTCAAATCAGGATCTTATGCATTCATATCCCGTCCATTGTAATAGCACAAGTTTAGCTGATAAGATTTGGCAAAAGTTTTAGAGACCCAAATCTAAACTGACTGGTTATATAAGCAGTCTTTATTAGATGAGCAACAACAACAACCACCACTCACTAGTTAGATAAGTAGATAGCTTGAGCAGGCAAGAGTTGGTATGTTTTTATTAGCATTACCCAAGTTGTGTGTATGGTGGTTCTGCAAAGTTAATGAGCAACAGGCATCTTCCAAAGATGCCTATTAAAAGTTCTCTGCCATTCCACTTTGGCCTTTGATGTTACAAATTTGTTTCTTTTTCTTTTTAAGAGCATTTCTTCATATCCTACATCCTGATTTAGAATTCTGAAAAAGGTTTGATGTGTTCAGAAGAGGTATTTAGTTGCATTTTATGTATACAATAAAGACACATAAATGTGTATGTTGTTAAAACAAATTTTGCACCTAGCTATATTATTTACATATGTAAAAAAATAAAAAATAAAATAAAAAATAAAATAAAAATAAAGAATAAAAAAATGGACAAATTAAAATATAAGGAGGTATACCAAGAAGGTCCCCCCCCACAAAAAAAAACATATTTGGTCATTTTTGGAAGTCAGTCAGCATGCACTTCTTTGTTTGTTTGTTTGTTTAAAACTTAACGACCCATCGATCAGCAAGAGATCATCATGCATGCACTTCTTGTATAAGGAACTAATAAACAGAATTATGACCATTGCTTTTAAGGTCAGTTGTGTGATAGTAAAACTTTTTTTTTTTTTTTTCTTTCTTTCCTTAGCATGAATTTTCTTTAGATAACAAAATCATTTCCTTTCTAGGTGGACTGTAAAGTGTTACTAGTGAAACAAAAAAAAAAAAAAAAACTAAGTTACCATTTATTTCGTTATGGTCAAATACCTAACTCTTTAACATTCAACCTGCTGTGTAAATATCAGCTCACAATGTTCAACCCACTCCACGTATACTCTGCTATAATATAGGATTACATTACAGTAGGTTTGCAGAAAGTCATGCAAACAGTGAAACTTTTAGAGCCAATATTTACAGGGTGAGTTTTGACAGTGTTGAAAGCTAAAGGGTTAAGTGAGTCAGCAATGGAAAAATTTTGCCTTATTTCATGTTTTATATTGATAATAACCAGAATTCACTTAATTTTTTTTTTTTTTTTCTTTCGGCAGTAAATAGATAAAAAGTAACAAAACTGAAGGAGGATATTTCCTCAGGACTGACTCCTTGCACAGGCAACATATCACCTGAATATTATCCAGTGACTGCTAGTGACAAAGACATAGAATATTAAGACAAGACACTATATTTATGTGAGAAGTTAAAACAATTCAAACTGGAAATGGTAAAGCTAGAAAGAAAAATTATGGGGGTATGTGAAACTAGATGGATAAAATAATGAAGACTTCCAAAGTGATAGGTACAGAATAATATAGGTAGGCAGAGAAAAATAATGAGAGAAGTGAATAACTAATATTAGGCAAAAGCGAGAATAAATATTCTGAGATACTGGTTAAATGTCTACAGAGTTCTTCGTATAGAACCGAAAAAAATATTAAGAACTAGCAGTAGAGCCTGGCATTGCCCGGGGATGTAACAGTAAGAGATAGATCAAGTATCAACCATCATAAAGACTGAAAAATAAAATTGACAAAGATTGTTTTTGTTTTTTTTTACGAATTGGTCAAACCCAAACTAAAACATTGTTTTCAATCGTTATGAGTCTACCGTTTGAATAGAATTTTATTATAAACAATTGTCTTGTAAATGAAATTTTTTTAAAGCATTCTGAATGTAAAAATAAAGAAAAAAGTGTGCAAAACAATAAGAAACACTACCTGCCAAAAATAAAAAGTGAATTTTTGTTGAAATCAGTTGAAAAATGTAGGAAATCTGATCCCATATATAAATGAACACACACAAACAACCTGGGTTTTATAATAAGTAAAACTCGATATGAGTTGTCCCCATTTAATTCTGGCAATAGAATTGTGTTTTAAGTGTTTTCAAATTGATTTCATGCAAAAACAATTGTTTTTCCAATTTTTGGCGCCGTTAGAACCACCGCAAGGTAATTTTACGTAGTCCTGTGAAGTTTTGTTGAAATTGGTTGAAAAATGTAGGAAATCCGATCCAATATATAAACGTACAGACACACACACACAATCTGCGTTTTATAAGTAAGAAAGATCTATCCATCTTAACTGTATTGCAAAACACAAAAGATGTTTTACGACACAATGGATAATGCCAAAAGCTAAAGCAAGCAGCAATAAATTATCATGGAGGACCTTAATTCAAACATTGGAAAGAAAGAAGATTATGAAATAATCATGGATCATGTGATACAAGCAGAGAAAAATGAACTCGGTGGTGCACAAAACAGACATACAAGTAATAACAAATACCTAGTTTCAACAATACCCAAGATGTCTGTGAACATAGAAAAGCTCAGGAAGAACACAAAAACCAAACAGGCTACCTCCTTAATTGGCAAAATATTCAGAAATTCACTTCTACACTAAAACTTACCGAAGACTTGACTGTGAGAGTAATCCCCACTACCAGTCAAAATTACAAATTCAGAGCTTTCACTATACTACAATTGATTCCAGGATGACAATCAGCATTTATCTATTTGTAAATTGAATTAAAAGCAAATATAAGAGCTTAGAAGAGGTCAGAGATTCAGAGTGGGATGCATTAAGGAAGCTCTAGTGATAGCAACAAAAGAGATCACCCTGAGGAAAAAGAAATTGGGTGGGGGTGAGAGAGGTTCTGGAATTAGGGAAAAAAATGAATTTCAAGAAACATGACAGTATATACAATAAGTAAAACATTAGAAAGAAATGTAATTAAGCAAAAAATGATCGACTCAACGAGAAGAATGCAGAGATTGAAACATCATAGAACATCAATATATCACATATACATAGCAGAACAGAAGACATGCTGATAGAAAAAGAAATGATACTTCAAAAGATGGAACAAACAAATTCGAGAATTTCCATAACC